CATCCACAGAGTGGGTGAGGTCCCTGCATGGCTGGGACATTGCCAGGGGGACCAAAATGTGGTGAAGCCCCAAAAAAAGGCCCTGGCAGCCAGCCCTACCTTCTTCTTAAGAGCTGTGGCTATGGCCTACCACTGGGTAACTAAAACAAGCAAGAGGAGATGAAAAAAAGTGTTCTTTAGAGACAGTCCCAGTCCCTTGCAGAGTGACCTACGGCAGAGTGTTGAGCAAGGCACTTCATCTCTGTGTGCCTCCATGCAGTGTGGATAGCAATGATTTATATCATGTTAGCGTGAGGGTTTCATCCATGGAGGTTTGCAAAATGTTGAGTCAAACTGAACAAGCCAAAGCCACCAAGCTGCTCTCACCATCGGATTCCTATTAAAAAATACCTCTGGGCAGTTTGAAAGCCACAAGCAACCACAGTGACCCCAGGTACAGTCATGGCCATACAGTTTCAAGAGCTTTAAAAGCCTTTTTTCTCTGCAGATTTCTTTAACTTTAATTTTACCTGTCCCCGAAGAGTATGCATCCCTGCCAGAACCTGGAGGAGCTTCCAGACAAGTCATGCTTGGTTCAAAATTTTAGCTATGCAAAGATTTAAAAAAAAAAAAGTACAAAGCGTTTTCTTTTAATGGAATGAGTCTCACATGGAAGTTGTGCAGTATTGTGCTGAGGGACATCAGCTATGCAGCATTGCCAACCACAGGCATTCAAAACTCGTGAGTCAGACTCCCCAAAACCCTAAGACTAGTTTCATTCCCTTCTGGATTTTGAGCCTTGAAGCACCACAACTTCAAGCTTTTCTCTTCCGAAAATGACATTTTTGACCAACGGGGCGAGAGCTGAGACCCTCACATCATCACTGGGCTGCAGGAGTCATGACTGTAAAAAAACCCAACATTAAACACCATGAAATGAGCAATAAACCCCTGCACTGCCCCCCTGAATTTGGCAGCAGGACAGCCGCCCCGAGCAGCTGGGACACCCAGAAGGGTACAAGTGATGGAAACCTGGTGACAAGAAAAGAGATGTCCTTACCGTTAACGGTGACATGTTTGTAATGGGCCATGACAGGGTAGAGAAGGGAAGAGCGAAAAATACTCTAAGGAAAAAAGAAGCAGGGATACCTGCAAGGAATAAGCGTAATAGGTTTATTCAACAGGGAGAAGGGAAGGGGAAATTTTTTAAGGGCAAGTATTCAGCTAAAGCTGCCTAAAATGGGGCCAGGCCTTACGGAGAATGGATATTTTAAGTGGCAATTTATTCCACTAATAAAAAAAGAAGGATGCAGGTGCTTTGGCAGGGCTGTGGACGGGAGCGGGCGAGCGCTGCGGTTGATCAGAGCCGGGTCTGCAGCACCAGCCGTGCGAGGGGCTCAGGCACAGCTGGTGGCTCTGCATTTATTGGTCTCCTTTTCCCTGGTGCCAGGGCCCACGTATGGATTTCAGCTATCCAGAAAGCGCTTCCCACACCAGCATCTCCTGCAACAGCTCTGATCACAGGCTGCGGTAGGTAATGAAAGATATTCTAACCAGATGCTACAGCCGTCCCTTCTCCAGCTGGGCAGGGAACGGCTTGTGCCCATGGGCTGCTCCACACTTGCACCTTTCACGCCAGGAGGTTTCTTGATCAAATTCCCAAGGCAGAGTAGCAAAAAGACAAGAAATCTTTGCAAGCTGGATGGTGCCATGCTCGTCAAATTGCTCAGGGCTCCTTGGGGCTGACAGTGCTGCTCCAGAGCCACGGCTCTTGCACATCATCTTGCTGAAACCAGGCAACATCCAGCTTTTCACCTTCATCCCTAAGTCCAGAGCGCATGAGTCAAAGGGTTGTGGAGATGAAAGATTAGACTCTGAAGTAATGGAAGTGGTAAATAACACCTTGCAGTAAGCACTAAATTGGCGCAGGCATTCACGCCTACCTGCCCACACCGATGGTCGTATTGCAGCACTGCAAACCGCAAGCCCATAAAGAAGCTGCAACCTTGACTCTCCATTTTAGTGTCGTTATCACCATTATTTCAAACCTGGCAGTAACTGGGGACCCTGAGCAGGTTTCAATTCTGATGCAGTCTACACCACATACAGATGAAAGATCATCCTATACTTATCCCAAGGAGAATATACTCTCAATACTCTCAGCTGGCCCAGATCCCTCATCCTCTATTCTAATATATACTACTTTTAAACTATCACTCTCATACTAAAAATAAAACTATCTACGTCTCTCTCCTTCACTGCGATGTCTGAGTTGAAAGGGTAGAAGTGCTTACTGAAAGTCACGGTTAATGTTACCCTGGAAGGATCTAGGACGGCATACCAGAACCTGGTTTTGGCATCTGGGAACCAGTTTTCAGCCATATATATCACCGTTCCTGCGTGCACTCTGGTGCACACAAAATTAGCCCTGTGGAATGCAGATTTAAAATTTGCTTTCCAGAAGTACTTAAATGCAGGAGCTAAAATTCTCTCTTTCGACATTTCCTACCTGTTCAGAAAAGAAGGAACAAAGTCCTGGCCCTTTGTTATTTGGGTCCCTTCCCGGGAAGGTTTGCAAAGCCCACGTCTAGCGCTGCCGTTTGTTTGCAGCCTGAACAAAGACCTTTTAAGCAGCAGCTCCCAACAGGAGCTCGCCACCTGCCTGCCCCTTGCCTTGTAGTTTACTTTGGGGTCTCTTTTTCAATAATAGCTGGAACACGTGTGCAAACCGGGTTTTTTTTCCTCTATGCCTACAGCGCTGGCTGCAAACCAAACGCCAGCCCAGAGTGTGCAGCTGGGAGAGAAAAAAAACAAAAAAACAAAAAAACCAACAACCTGTGGAATGTTTTCTTGCTTCTGAGAGCTCCAATACTTCCCTGCTTGGGGGAGCGCTTGCCATGGCTGGCACTTGCTGCATCCAGCAGCCAACAGGGTTTCCTTTTCAGTGGACTCCAACTAGATTTTGGGCAAAGGATGGGGGCGAGGGGGATGCATTTAACAACTGCTTGATCATCTTTTTCAAGTGATGCCATTTGCCTTGTTGCACAGCCACCACCCTTGCACGTCCTTGCAAATGGTGGCTTGTTGCACAACTGCCATGCCCTTGCAAATGGTCCCACGAGGGCGAGGAGGGCTGCTTTGCACCCAGACGTGGAAGTTTGACCTCACCAACAGGTTTTGAGCTGTGTTTTCACCTCTCTGATACCAACCTCATGGCCACAAAAGCAGGGTGCAGGTTTTCTTACCCAGGAATCCAGAGCAGTTGATGCAACCAGCTAACCCCAACCCCACTTGAAATCCTCCCGGAGACAAGCCCTGCCGTGCAGCACACAGCGGCCCTGAGCACCTTCCTCGGTCCAAGCAGCTCATGCAAGAATAACATGGAATAACGGATACGCCTGAGGATATGGCACAGGAAAGGAACAGGGTACTTCAGGGCGTGCTGGCGCTCGGCTCCGCTTCCCACTCAGGGCTGGACGCCTGGGGAGAAAGCACAGAGTATTTACGTGCTGGCTTGGAGGGATTAATTTTCATGGTAAATAGGGACATCAGAGTTTTTCACTATTTATTGGTAGAGATTCAATTTTGCAGGGGTTTGCGGTAAGTTTATGGCTTGTCCAAGCGGGAGGGCGGCTGGAGACGCGGTGTGGGCAGCGCTCTGCGGAGGGATGCTGCTTGCAGCCAGCCAGGGAACGTGGATGGTTCCTGCAATATCAGCTAAAATTGGGAGCCCTACGCAGCTTATCTGAGCCGTGCTCGAGGAAGGCTCTCAGCACAGCCCTCTCGGGTCAGTGCTTTAATGCTGTTGTGCCATTCTCACCGCGCACACAACACCCCTGCGCTCCCCCTCCCAGAGTCCTTTCCAACTTGGCTGGAGTGGTTGTAAAGAGTGTTTTTTTTCTCCGTGCATGCCTGCCTTTCCACCGGACCCCCTCCCGGGGGACAGGCGAGCCTGTCCTGTCGGCCTCAGAAATAGACGGTGGCTCATATCGCAGCTCGCAGCCTCCTCCCCAAACCCACAGCCACAAAGGCGGTTGCTCAAGCGTAGCATTCCTGCTCCCTGCGTCCCGGGAACAGCTGTACCGAAAAGATGCCGAGAATCCCTGCGAGGCTCCAAGGAAAAGATATTAACCCAGGAGGGGAGCAGCAGTGATATAATAAAAAGTCATAATAAAAGAGAGAAGCCACTGAGTGGATTAGCAGCCCAAACGCTGCTTGGCTTTTGGTCTCCTTTCCTCCGGCTTTTCTGTGCCGCATGGTCATCTGCTCAAATTCCTCTACCCCAGAGACGCTCAGCTCCTGAATTTCAGACAGATCTCCTGGAGGTGTCTACGCTGCAAAGCCTGAGGGCATGGCCGAGAAACTTAACTGCACTTAACTCCACCCGAGTGCATAGGAGGACACACAGGCGCGCGTAGCAGGCATTAGATGCTGCATCACGCGAGCTCCCCGATGCCCATGCTCTGCTAGAGCAGGGTCACCCACTCCAGGTCTGCCCTCGTAGGGAAATAAAAGGCAGATTTGGAGCTTGGTGTGTATTTCACAGGTACAGCAAAGGTAGCGAGATACGTCCCGCTGTTTTAAAACCCCCCGGTACCTGCCACACACCAGCTCTTCCCTACTTTGTGCCAGTGCGGAGCAGCAGATAGTTTTTCCCTGCCAGGCTATTCCAGCAGCACCGACCCAGCGTCAGTGCAGGGGTGGGATGCAGAGGTGGGGTGTCCCCACGGGGAGCAAGCAAACCTGTAGCCCTCACCCACATTGCACCCAGATCCAACACCCAGCACAAGGCGTGCAAGGACAACGTTCCTTTAGAAACACCCAGAGCGATATCAGGGGCACAGAGCATCTGCCACCAGCAGCCGCCGGCTGCATCAAGAATTTTGCTCTTGGGGAGAGACAGAAGCAAAGGGGGCGGCTGTGGCGGCAGCAGCTGTTCCCTGCCCGCAGCCCTCCCGGCCACGCAGGGCATTTAAATTTTAAAGCACACTCGCCACGGCTGTTTTCTCTGTCGTCTCCATCCAGCTCGCAGAGACCGTCTTCCTGGGAGCCGCCGGCCTGTGAGGCACCCATGGGTTCACTGGTGGCCAAGCTCCTTCTGCCCACCATCAGCACCTTGGTCTTCCTCCCCACCATCAGCATCGCGGCCAAGCGGCGCTTCCACATGGAAGCCATGGTTTACTTCTTCACCATGTTCTTCGTGGCGGTAAGATGTCCCTGTACCTCCCCCGGGTCTTTCATCCCCCTGCACCGGGACTCTGCCGGGAAGGGTAGCTGGATCTCACCCAAGAGCAGTGAGTGCGACCCCCAGAATATCCATTTTCAGCTATTTCCCACCGTGTGCGGCGCTGAGCGGCTGATTCTTCAGTTTAGGTGGTCCTAAGGGGTGGCCTTACATAGATTTAATGGTGTTTTCTGTTTGTGAGGTTAGAGAGAGGGTCTGGGTACAAAGCAACTTGATTGATTCGCAATGTTTTGGAGCTGTTTTTTCTCTTTGTTTTACAGCTGGTAAGTGGCCATGCTGAATTTGGGGTTTAAATTGTATCCAGAGTCTCTCGCTATGCTTCTGTCATTTTAGCCAAAAGCACGTAGTCGAATTATTGATTTTGCAATTGCTAAGTGGTGATGGGAGCAATGCTCAAGTCGGGGGAGTTTCTGCACTGGGAAAAGAAAGACTAAAACATGCTTCTGAGCTATCAAGAAAAATAAATATTAACCCTGCACCCTGGCAGAGTGGTTTGAAAATGTGTGTTTCACCAGGCTCAGAATCGCCCTGCCTTCCCTCGCATGGGAATAACGGGAGGAGAAAGTCGGTTGTCTGTACATATACAAAATAATTCATATTCCCACTCCCGGCAGTAAGCTGCCCTGTGCTTTGTATTGCTGCTAAGTGCCTCTGTACACACACAGGTTGAGCACCTAAAGCAGTGTTACCACTGGAATAAATCTCCTACTTAACCCCATAGCAATGCTCTGCTAAAGGATATGAAGGAAATAGCCCAGCAACCCAACCAATATTGCATTTACCGCTTCTCCCCACCCATCTCGAGGCATCTCATGAGGGTCATCTCATCCCTTGCACAGGGACAGAGAAACTGAGGCAGGGAGTAGATAAAGGTGTGAAAAGCTCTTCCACAGCAGCAGAGCTCTGAACCAGGCTAGTCTCTTATTCCTAAGGATCCACCATTTAAGCCTCCAATTTAAGCACAATGCAGGGGGAGAAATTCTGCCAGTTCCATAAAAACTACGGGACTAGTTAATAAAAACATCCCAACCAAGCCCCCCCCCCAGCTCCCCAGGGAAGCCAGACAGCTACGATTTCATTTTGCACCGGTTTTGTGTCTGCTCCACCTCCCCGAGAAGTCAATAGGAAAATTGGCATGTGTTTCGACGGGAGGTGGAACAGGTCCTCGCCGAAGAGATTGAAGAGGCAAAATATCTGTGCGTGGGGAAGGGAAGGAAGGGAAGGCAGCTGCCAGCATGGTCGGGGGGGTAGGAAGGGCAGCAGCTGCTGCTGTTGCCTTTCTTGTAGCGTCCCATTCCTCCTCCCCCAGGAGACCTCATCAGAGCAGTGAAAGCATATGTCCATCGCAGACAAGTGCTGTGACGCCGGCCAGAAACACGCTCTTTGTCTTCCACCCTCTCTTCCCCCTGTCTCCAGACTCCCCGAACCCAATCTCAAACAGAGAAAAGAATTACAGCCGTGGTGCAATCTTTTCTAGAAACTGCAGCAAGCCAAAGGACTTGCAGCAATTCCCATTATAAATAATATCAGCAACCCCGCTGGGCCATGACAGCGAGGATTGTTCCAAGGGCGTCCTGCCAAGCAGTGAAGGGACTTCTTCAGAAACAGCGAAGCACGCTGGTGCTACCACTAGAAAACTTGCAGGGCTGAGTGCTCGGAGGAAAAGGCGAGCGCCAGGCAAACACTGGGAGCATTCCTCTGATTGCGCTGGAAAATTTCTCTTGGCTTGGTTCGCATTTATGTTGCATGACAATGGGTTTTTCGCAAATAACCTAATCAATGAGCTAATGGGCAGGAACCAGCGGTTTTTAAGGGAATGCACTAATGAGTGAATTCCCCAGTATTCAGACTCTGGCCATATAAACCCTATTTAGCCTGGACAGTGACCTGGCATCTATACGCATTTCATCAGGACACTCATTTTGAATTGTTTTACGAGAATCTTTCACAATTAGAACCATAACCCCAGAGTCCTCCTTCTGCTGGAGAGGACGTCCCTGCACTGCCTGCAGCTCGGCTCGAAGCAGCTTGCTCATCAGATTGCAAATGCTGGCACAGACCAAGAGGCAGACTAAAGCTCGTCCACAAATAATTTGTACTAAGAGAAAAGAATGTTGATTCTCAGGCAATTTGTAATTGGGAATGGTGACATGATCTCTCAAATATATTCATTACTGCGTATCAGTGACCCTGGTGTATTTGAGACTGTTCTGTTCTAGCTGGCCGTCCTCTCAACAGCCATGCAAAGGCTGTTTTAAACCAGTTGATAAGACCCTTTACCTTACTGGTCTGTGGGTAAGGAACTAGTTTTCTAATGCTTTTTTCTTTTTTTTTTTTTTTTAATAGATTTACCACGCATGTGATGGCCCCGGCTTATCAGTGCTGTGCTTCATGCGCTATGATATTCTGGAGTACTTCAGCATCTATGGAACAGCTCTGTCCATCTGGGTGTCCCTGATGGGTAAGCACTGGTCTTTCATGGTTCCTACCGAGCACCAGCGTTTGCAGGTCGGCCAAGCTCTGTCGGCATCACTGGTGGGATGGTCAGTGGGTACAGTCCCCAGAAATGCTGTTGCCTTTGAGCTCCCATCTGCAAGACTTAGCTGTGAGACTGTCTTTTACGGAAGTCAGCCCGTGCTATGGTTTAATCAATTTTTATATCATTAATGCCTTGGAAAGCCATTGCACTCGGTGGGGTCCAGACACACATGAAAACTGTCCTGAGTGGTGGCTGGGGAAGTTTTGCTCTTGGAGATAAACAGAGGTCTGGTGCCGGGTGTTTGTGTTAGTTGGGTGTTCCTCTACCTTCACCAGCTCTTATGCGTGTCCCTACAACAGCAGAATTATTTATTTCAAATTGGCAAGTAACACATGCAGCCTTGTGCTTTAGTTCAAGGCAGGACAGTACTATGTGATGACTTAGTTTGAAACCTTCCATGTCAGGGAATCCCCCACTTCTCTTCATTTTCCCCATATGGAGCCCCATCAGCATGTCCTGTCCTGACTTGGGGGCATTAAGAAAGGCAGAATCTGCCACTTCCCTTGGTAGCATGCAAATCAAAGTGGTTTAGACAAAACAAATATATCTTCCTAGTTCATCAAAAGCCAGTTTGGGCTGATGGGAAATATTATATCTGCTTAGAAAAAGCAGAAATATATTTCACTTCCTTTTTATTTAGAATCCTGACCCTTGCTCTATTACTCAGTTTTCCTTTTCCCACATTCCCTTCACTCTCTTTTTTTCTCTTTTTGTTCCTCATTTGCCACTGAAACAAGGTATAATAGAAATGAAAAAAATATGACAGAACTAAAGAAGGATGAAAACTTCAAACCTATTATTTTCCTATTTTGTCAACACGCTTTTTGGAAGGACACAAGTATTTCTGACAGGAGAATAGAGTAGGGCAAGGGGAGAGAGATGAAGGGACGGTCACTTTCCAACAGCAAAGGCTTTGCTCAAGAGATTCGGACCATCTCCAGCAGCCACACACCCAGTTCCCACTCTAGCCAGGCAGGGTCCCCAGCCCTCCCAGTGCTCAGCTGGGGTCACCACACTGATCTACAGCTCCAAAACACCCACAGGACTTTCTCCTCTGCCCCTCGGGGTTCCAGGGTTGGTGCAGGACCTCCGGCCGGGTTGGGAGAAGCTCCTGCAGCCCCCAAGCCCAGCACGAGCCGTGGGGCAGCATCCCCTCCGCCGGGCACAGATCCATCCCTCCTCCCTTCACCGCCGAGCAGCGCAGACAGCAGCATCCCCCTTGAGGGCATGCAACAGGATAAATCTTCTGTGCAGGGAAAAAAAGAATGGGGAAAATATTAACCTTAGAAATGGCTCTGTTCCCCCAAGGTGCGAGTCCCGAGGTGGGCTCCCACACTGTCCATGGCACTTCAGCACTCTCTCTGCTTGGCTAGAAAGGCAATGAGGCAAATCATCTCCAAAGGGCACTTTCAGTAGGTAACAGCAGTGTCAGGGTAGGTCAGAGCCGATCCAGACACTTTGGGTCCCTGCAGCAAAATTCAACTTGATTGCTTCGTTACTGCATTCAAAAACCTTGCAAAAAAAATACAAATCCCGGACTACGATGTTTAAAATATTGACCCGCAGGGAAACAACAGAGATTAAAATGCGGACATTATCCCTTAGCCAAACTCCCTATAAAACCACGATCCAAGGACATGGAAGGTGTGGTGACTGAAGCCCAGGGAAGCCTCTCGCTGTGGCTTGTAAAGCCCGAGCGCACATGTGCGGACGCAGACCCTCGGGCACGCTTCCCGGAATGCAAATCCAGGACAGCCATAACACAGCTGTGCGAGCTGGAAAAGCATGGAGCCCACTGGGATCCATAACTTTTATCAGTTATTACCCCATTCTGTGCTAAACAAAAGCCTCTAATAATTTACTCGCACTGGCGACTTCCAGCTTGCAAACCTCAGGCAGGTGCTGGCACAGCCAGGCAGCCCAGTCCCCATCGCATCGGCAAGCGCGGTCCTACTGGAGCAGGGTGAGCTGGCAAGTTTGGGAGGGTTGGAAATGTAGGATAAACTCAAGAGCCAATGGTGGGCTCACCGGGTGCAAGTGTCTTCTGGGCTGACTTCTCTGGGTCTTCTTCTTCTGGGTCTCGACTTCTGGGTTGAGGCAGTAAAGGAAAATAGAGGTGGGAAATCTTTAGCTTCCACACGCAATAGTGAACATAAGACGCCTAAAATCAGCTCCTAGAGCCACCACTCAGATGCCTCAGTATGGTTCGCTTTGCCCCCATGTGCCTCAGTTTCCCCAGCTGTGAGGCATAGGGGCAAACCAGAAGTGGATGCGATGCTGAGGGTCCCCAGGGCAGGTGGGACAGACCCCAGTAAGGCTTTAGGGGAGCAGCCGAGGAAGGGGGTGGGCGAGCTGACGCTCCCTGTGCTCGGTGCTGCGCAGCCCTGGCAGAGTTTGACGAGCCGAAGAGATCGACCTTCGTCATGTTCGGCGTCCTCACCATCGCCGTGAGGATCTACCACGACCGCTGGGGCTACGGTGTCTACTCGGGACCCATCGGGACGGCCGTTCTGGTGATAACCGTGAAATGGGTACGTAGGGAAGGGCACCATGCTGGCATTTTGCAGGACGTTCGCGGCAGGGAAGGGGCTGAGCCCTGCGCGGAGGGGTCCAACCTGTGCCAGGGGTTTCCTCCTCAAGGTCCAGCTCTCACAGCGCAGGCCATCAGGGTGATTAAACAGCACTTCTTCAACCCGAGCAGAAAGCAGGCAGACAGCCTTTGTGATAAACGCCAGATTCGATCGGTCTGAGCAATCTACCACATCTCCTGTCCCTGCGTTTCTAATCAGGAAGAACGCATTGATGGAGTTTTTACAGCTACTCAGAGGCAGAGGGGTCTGGTAAACTGCCCCGGAGCCAGTGGAAGATGTGCATAAAATGCGGTGATAAAGCGGGAAGGAATCTGCCTGTAGTCTGCCTGAATCTGGCTGGGACAGTCGGGCACCACGCTGCAGCCTGTGCCCCGCACACGGCGGATGCTGTCGACCCGGCTGGGAGCCCGATGGCAGAGCCATTAGCAGGAGCCGGCACGGCCGTAAAAGGGAAAGGCGAAGAAATCAGTGATGGGGTAAAAATTGCAGGAAGGCACTGCTGAGCATCACGGAAATACAGTGATGCAAGTGCCAGCTACATGCTGTCGCTAAGCCCCGTCTACTGCCCAGCCGGCAGCTAAAAGCAAGCGGCCACGACGGGGAGGGGGCGAGCGAGGAGGCGACCGAGGTATGAGACCACCCTGTGTCCCCCAGTGCAAAGGCTGTGCTGGGATCCGCTCTCCCAGAGACTGGGTTTGTGAGGGCACATGCTTCCTGAGCTGGGTTTGGGGCTGAATATTAAGAAAACAGCGTTATGATCAGGAATGAAGCAGGAGGACCCATTGCAGCAGAAGGCACAGGTGCTTCCCACGTGCAGGCAGACCCCGCAGCCCGGGGGAGCCGTGGGCTTTGGGTGGTTTTATTTCAGCATTCATAGGATCTTTCAGATGCGGAACAGGCAGCTAAATCCAGGTGAAATTGTTTGGTGTGTTCTCTCTTTCCTTCCAGCTACAAAAGATGAAAGAGAAGAAAGGGCTCTATCCAGACAAGAGCGTCTACACCCAACAGATCGGTCCTGGCTTCTGTTTCGGGGCGTTAGCACTGATGCTGCGGTTCTTCTTCGAGGTACCTGTTTGCAGAGTCAATCACCCTGACTTTACAAGGCGTAAAGGACATTACCAAGATAGGAGACCTCCCCCTTCGCACCGCTGGGCTGCATCCAGCCTTGGACAAAACCCAGCTCAGGTGCGGGTCTCTGGGGTTGGCGTGCCGGGGTCTGGTGGCAGGGACGAGGGTCCCTTCCTACTTGTCCCCATCCCAGCCCCTGGCCCATTAACTGCGGTGTGGGCAGGGAGAGGTGTGACACCAAGTGACACGCAGGGTGATGCTCGCTCTCTTTTTCCCCTGTTAAGTGAGTCGCAAGCTCACGGGCCATGCTTTCTTCAGCCGTACGTGATCCTCAAAATGGCTTTGTCAAATGCGAGCGAGGTTTTTTGGAAACTGGGCACGGGTGGCTTAAGGACACCTCGCAGAGCCACGGCAGGGACTGGATACGACCCAGGCATGGCCAGATCCAAAGCTGGCTCATGCCAAAGACTCTCAGTTGACTCCCAGGGGCACTCGATCCCATGTTTATAACCTTTTGCTCTCGCCGCTGGCCAGTTTGCCCGTCCTGCACAAAAGGGTCCGTCTGTCCCACGCGGGGAAGGCGATAACCCCCCCGACACAGCTGCCGGTCACGCCTGCGCTCAGCCCCGCCGTTACGGCTGCTCTGTGCATTGGGAGCTGCTAGATACAACCTCACAGTCATCCCCAAGGATTATTTTTCAAAGCATTTAGTAATTGCAAATTCTAGCAGAACATAAAAATGTCACTTAGCAGAAACCGCCTCCCCCCGCGCCCCGGCCTCGCCGCCGCGTCCTTTGCGGGGTAATGAAACACTTCATTCAAGAATTGGGAAATGTGCAAATTGGAATGTGTTAAATCCACTTTGCTTTTTTTTTTTTTTAAAGCTGGAAATCCTTTCTACTTTGACAGCAAAAAGAGGCAGAAGGCTCAGGAATTTTTTTTTTATTCCTTTCCTTTTGGCTACTTGCAGAAACCTAATGTTTTGCACCTAACGCAGAGCCCCCCGGCACCGCGGCTCCGGCAGGTCTTGCTAACGCTCTTCCCGCTTGCAGGAGTGGGATTACACCTACGTGCACAGCTTCTATCACTGCGCCTTGGCCATGGCCTTTGTGCTGCTGCTGCCCAAGGAGAACAAGAAGGCCGGGAGCGCCGGGACCCCCGCCAGGCTCGACTGCTCCACACTCTGCTGCTGCGTCTGAGCCGTCCGGGCGAGCGGGGCACTTGCTTTTCTGCTCCTGGGGCAATGCAACCAAATGCAAAATGCCCGCCTGCTGCATTTTCCTGTGGGACACTGGCATCTTCTCCCACCAGCTCTGTGCACGCCCCGGGGATTTTCTTCCCTGGAAAGTCTTCACCTTTCCACCATCAGCCCCAGCAGAGGTTGCGCTTCCAGTTTGCTACATACTCCTACTTCTCGCTGGAGAAGCGCTTGTCTGGGCTCCAACCCTGAGGAGACCCTCCTGCTCTCAGGCCATGTCACCGCCTGGGCTGTCCCCTGCACTGGCCCTGGAGGAGCCGAATTGTCCCCTCCGTGCAGGTTTCCCCAGCCTGAGCACGCGGGGCTTCGTTCGCAACGCCCAATTAACAGAACCTGTATTTTTGTGACATATTTACTATTTTATTTATGCATTCTCTTGATGTAAATAATACACACTAACAAAGACTTTGCAAGTGTGCAACGCCAGCATTTCTTAAGCAGTGCAAGAAACTTTCCAGCTCAGCTCCGCTCAGTTGAGGGCAGATGCCAGCCCCAAAGCAGAGCTCTGGGCACGGCCACCCCCTCCCCTGCCCACAGCCCCCCAGGGCCTGGAGGGAGCTGCAACAGTGGGCACTTTGTCCTTGCAGACCTGCCCCAGGTGCTGCAGGCAGCAGGTGCGCTTGCAGCGAGCCTCATTAGTGTGGAAAGTACATGGAAAATTAAGAGGCAGAGAAAAGAAGCTCCTGGAGGGAGGGGGAGGACTGTAAACCTATAACATCTCCTCTAACAGACTATTTACTATAGCAGAAGTGTATGATTTATTTAGACTGTCTGGGAAAAACGCCAAGACTATATGTCATGGACAATTAGAGCAGTATTGATATACAGTGATGTCCACAGAAAGCCCACATTAAGCCTGGGTTCCTCTGGAAGAGAAATCCACCCTGGTCATTCATCAGAGCAACTTCCTGCGACGGGGCAACAACCAAAACTGAATGAGCTTCCAACAAAAATATAAATGAATTATGAACCCCCAAGCATCCAAGAGTCACTGGCAAGCGGTGGCACAGCTGATGCAGCTGCACGCAGAGGCAGCGCTAGCAAAAAGCTTCCAAAGGGTTCACCAGCACCTAAACCAACACAGCACACCAGGTCTTTCTGAGCATCCAGCCCCCGGGATGTTCTGCAAGATGCTCTAAGGGTTTGTGTGCGACACTTTCCCTATTCCTTGCACGCTACTGGAGTACTTTGCCACTCAAGGACTGCTCAGGGTATCCCCAAAAAACAGTCCCAAGTGCTCATTTTGTGGGTGTTCAGCCCCTCCTGGACTGCGGTGACGTTCATAGCCCTGCAGCAAGCCCCGGCGGTTCGTGGGCAGCGTGGGCATGGGGAGAGCCTCGCGTGGGTAAAGCACTGGGAGGAGAAGCACTGGGTAACTGCAATGCCTTACCGTGGCTGAGCAGGAGGGAAGAAAGGTTGGCAAACCCCATGCAAACAAGGAGGGCACGTCAGCTAAGGCCCAGCTGAGTAAATGAAAGCTCCAGCTCCCACCTGCCATGTGTTCAGGTGTTACACCAAAAAACCCAAGAAGTATATTGCATACAATAAAATCCCAAGCAAGGTTTCCTTTTTCCCCTCTCCCTGCTGATGCCCGAGGGCGTTGCTCCGACAGCGCAAACTGGCCCACCCTTTGCACCCCCATGCAGGACCAGCACCCACCCTTGGGACCGAAACGCAGCTGGGCACGTCCGCAGGGTCCCTGCCCCGGCATCAGCCCCGCGCCGGCGGCAGCACCCGCTGCGGCAGCACCAGGCACCCCGACACCCGGGAGGAAGGTGCACGGGCTGAATTTGCTATCACCCAGGCAGGATATCCCCTGCAATACAAATGCAGGGAAATATTATAAACATTTACAGCAACGTAGACAAAACAGTCTCTTGTAACCTTTTAGCGCTGCCGAGAGCTTTGCCTGTAAGAGCTCTTGAGCCCCTGCCAAAAATTCTTGCTGTTTTCATAAGAGTAGGTGTTTTCGTCTAAGGTGCAGTCTGAGTGCTGTGACCTTTGTCATGTCTGCTACTGAAATTTCCTGCTTCTCTGTTATTCTCTTCTTTGGTAAGACGATATGAAACCCAAAACTTTTATTGCCCCTTTTAAAGCGTCTTTATAGCTCCCCGTCTACTTCATATACTGTCTTATTCTTGAACGCTGGGATATTACTTATGGGATCCGGGCTTGATGCTGCAAAAGGCATTTGGGTTTCATGAAGCCCAAACCGCCTGGGTTTTTTTAAGATCAGCTGAGGGGGGGGAAGAAAAAAAGAAAGAAAAAAGGAAAAAAGGAATGAGGGGGGAGGGACCGGGCTTTCCACTCCGGAGGCATCGGCATCTGCTACCAGCGCAGCGGCAGAGAGCAGCGACAAGGGCGAACAGGAGCCTGCCAGCCTCCCTCCTGCTCCGCAATACCTCCCCAGGCACAAAATCCCATTTGCTTTGTGTCTGGGCCAGTGTGGGGTGCCCGCCGACCCCGTGGGGACAGCATCCCACGGCGTCTCTTCCCGCACCTCCATCCCCTGCCCGCTCTGCCCCAGAGCCAGCAGCTCAGACGTGGCCGGACACTGCAGCTGGTGCCGAATCCAGTCTGCAGTGGCTGGAGCAGATCTGTCCCAGAGCTGGCACTGGTAGAGGTCAGCCCTGCTCGGCGGGTTCCCGCACACCCCATTTCCCTGCTCGGTTTCAGCGTCGGGACAGACCACATGAAGGACGTGCATCCCCAGACAAGGGCTGATGGAAAGCCACAACGGTCAGATGCTTCATGCTCCTCTCCCACCCTTTGGGCTGCGGGGCATCGTCTCCACCGCGTGTAGGGACCACAGCGGCAGGGATCCCCCAGGATCTCGCTCACTTCTGCACGCTGCCCAGCATCCCCAGCACAGGAGGAGTGGGATCCCAGTGTGCTGGGGGGAGAGGGCTGGCTGCCCTCAGGCTGCAGCCCCGCAGCAGAGGATCTTGCAGTAGGCGCAGGGGCCATTGGGCAGCTTCAGAGTGGCATGGTCGAACCGTCCTTTCCAGGAGACACACGTTCCTCCATGCTTGCCTACGGCAGGGCTGGGATGAGAGGGAATTAGGACCTACTCCTGCTCGAGGGGAGGCTTCCAGAGATGTCTAGTTGGGCTCGGTGCCAGCTAATCTTCCAGGCAAACTTTATCCAGATCCCTTTGGCTGCAGAAAGTGAAAAACTAGCCAGACCAAAACCTAAAAGCTTGGTTCTGCTGCCAGCTGTATGGGGCACTCCAGAAAACACCTTATCACCATGTGATTTTGAAAGACCACTTCAGGTTTTTTTCCACACGCTGCTCTTCCCTCCTCACCCTTGCACCGCTGTTCCTCCGTGCACGTTCAAGTTGTGAGCCAGCCTGGCCATCCCTGCCAGGTTAACTCACAGACCTTGGGGCCAAGGTTTTCCTTCTAACCACTTTTATGCCCTTTAGGCCACGGTGATGCTACGCCGCTTCAAAAAGTGCTGTTGCTCCATCCCGAGGCACATACAGCTCATCGGGAGCGGTGATGGGCAACCCAAGGAGATGCATCCACCAGGACTACCAGAGAAGTCCTGCCTCCTCCCTGGGAGGGCCAAAAAAACCCAATTCTGCTGGAAATTCAAGAGTGGTGATTTCTTGTGGAAGTAGGGGCAGGAGCTCTCTGGGGAGCCCCAGGGAGAGGGCTTGCCCTGGGCTCCTCCATCACCCTCTGGTTCTGATGTGCAGGAGATGTCTGTGCCCTGTAACAGGGATAAACCAGGTCTGCAGGGGCAAAGGGGAGTCACCACCAATGTCCTACACAGACCCAGGGCTCCATGGCCCGGGGACATGGCACAGAAGCACTAAGAGAAACCAGCCCCATCCGTCAGCCTGGAAAAAAGGGGAGATGAAGCAACCGAAGCACCTATCTAGGACCACTTGGTATCTCTCAGCTTCACTTCAGCTATCCCAGCCCCGATGCATATCTTTTCCTGGTGCACAAAGAAGGTCTCCTACGCTTCAGAGGAGTTGAGGGGCACCCAGGAAGACCAGGGTGGGATTTTCCATGGCTGGTGCTGCTCTGCAGAAACACCACCTTTCTGCAGCAGCGCAGGATGGAGTTAGAGCAGATGCAACTGTGGGGGTCAGTAAAGTGGTACCTGCCGCGTGGGTGCAAAGCAGCCTAACCCAGCCCCAAGAGAAAAAAACACTGACGCTTTGGGGTTTCGCTTAAAACAATGCCATGCAATGTCCCAGCAGGTTTCTCTTCTCCTCCTCTTTCCTCTCAGCAAGATTTCCAACCAAACTTTCCACCCCAGTGGACGTGGGCAAGGTAGCCCCATCGTTCAGCAGCGACGGGGTATTTTCAGGGCGCGGAGGAGCTCGGCTGCGGTGTTGCAGACAAGGCTGAGCCGCTCGCCTCCCAGAGGGGTCGGGCAGGGAGCCCCTCGCACACTCGCAGGTGTCCGCTCCCCCCCGGCAGCACCGGAGTTGGACGCGGATGGTGGACTCGACCCAAGCGACCAAACCCCAGCGCCGAGTCCCTGACCCGGGGAAGGGCAGACGCAAAGCAGCCGGGCTCGCTCGGCTCTTGCGGGGATGCTTTCACAGCTGCAAAAACCCGCTCCAGGTCCAGGTTCGGTGTCTCCAGCCTCCCCGCTCCTCCGGTGGAGCGGTCCCAGGGAGCAGCGGTCCAAGGTTTTTGGTTTAGGCCAATCTCCCAGAAATTCTGTCATCATGCAGTGCATCACGCACACTCCCGGATCCGCATTACACAGAGGATGGCCCCGGTCCAGCGCCTCTTAAAGTCAGTGGAAAAACCCTCCCTCGCTACGATGGGAGCTGGCTCGGGCCGTATACGATCTGACAGATACCATGGAGCAAGAGAGGTTGTTTTAATCTGGGAATACCTTGTGGCCCCAAAGCTTCTTCTGGAGACGGACAGGGCAGCATGTCTACAGAGCGGGTGCTGCTAAGAAAAGTTCCCAACCTCGCAACAGCCTTTCAATGAGCATTTAATGAACCGTCGTTATCTGATCCATGTGCTCCGAATGCAAGGGAACCGCTCGGGTTTCCAACTGCACACATCATCTGATGCTCATAAAATGAGCTGATGTGTCTGGGAAGCCCCAGACCCAAAGAAACATTATTTCAATGGGGAAAAAAGTCAATAATGCTTTAAAAAACACCCGCATGGACCAACAGGGACAGTGGCTGCTCTCCCCTGCTTACCTGTGGTTTTCCAGCAAAGCAAATGTTCACTGATAAAACTCACAATCTCCTTATAAAGGCAGGATCTGTTTTGCCTGTAAAAGGGAAGGTTTGGGGGAAGTTTTACATGTGTCTCTCCTCTCTTTCTATGTCTTTATATGCGTTTTCATTTTCACAGTAGTTGAGCTAATCTGAATGGAGCAGGAGCGAGGGTCCAGGTTATAACCAAAGTATCGGGTAGCACCTTCACATCTGGAAGGGATTTTGACACAAGTTCTCCCAGACTGTTACAGACAGTTTAAAAGCAAAATCTGATAAATAGCAAATGTTTAACAAGTCAATAGGAAGCTGCATTCGCAAGAACATGTGGCTCTAACTGGTCTAGCACCGCCGCATTGCCAAGGCCCTTCAAACCTATACGCACGCATACCTGCAGCACGCGGTGAGGGTTTGCCATGGCTCTGCCTGGTCCTGGTCTCAGTTACAGAGGGAAGGATTAAAGACAGATGTGTCTTTGTATGTCCAGGAGCCTGCTTCAAAGCCTGAGAAGGTCCTGAGCCTCCCTGCTTTGGTGGTAAGGGGCTTGCTTCTCCTTCCCAGCCTAAACCGAGTCCCTTTCATTTTCTGTATGCCCCCAGCCTCGTGTTTAAGGTGGGAAGAGGATAAAGAGAGCTGAAGAGCTCAGGGAAGCACCACAGAGCCCGTCCCTGCAAGCCTGCCAGCACACCAGGCACCACTGCCCCAGCACAGGAATTTTGGGGGATGCACTGGCCGGTGAGCACCCACTCAGGTCACTGCACAGTGTGTCAGAAGCACACAAGGTCTCACCCCAATTTTGCACAAATTGGGGTCCATCAGAGCTCCAACCCACAAGGCAGAGGCGTTTGCACCTTTGAAAATCCTTTGCCATCCCTTGAGAGCCGCAGCCTCCTCGGGGCAGAGGCCGCCGGCTGCCCGGGCAATGCCCTCCCGAGGAAAAGTGCCGCTGCCAGCAAAACATCCCGACACAAAAGCTCTTGCAGTGTTGCAATACTGCCTGGTTTGGGGAGAATTCATACCAATAAACAAACGACTACCCAAAATGTGGAAAGAGGCATTAAAATAGATAGAATTATGCAAGGAGTGGGGAGCGGACGGGGAGACAGAGAAATAAGAAGTGACCAGGAAAACCACCAGAAACCCTCCAGGATGCCTGCCTATATTTAAAGATAATCTGGTCAGCTGTCTTGCCAAGTCCCACTCATTTGGAGCTGGGCTCATGTTTTGGATTAATTTTAAGGCAGTTCCTAAAGCATCTCATTCGCACAAGGAAGAATTTTTGCCTCCTTGGCCAAGGTGACCTTTTAAAAAATCTCACTCACTATTTTTCAACCTCTCACTCATTTAAAATTGTCATCGCCCAGGAGCTGTGGGGCACTCAGTGCAGACAATTCATTTTCTGGCGCTCACTAGTCCCACAACCCCGGAGCATCCTGGAGTGGGGCTGGGTGAGAGGATGGGGGGGCCAGGGGGGACATTTTTCTGCAAGTCAGGACCCTTCCCCTCTCCTGTGAGCATCGCTCAACCAAGCACTGAGAGCAGAAATCACCCCTCCTGAATATCTCAGCCTCTCCAGGCACCCCACCATGGGCTGGTTGAAAGTTTTCTACAGAAACTAGTCTTCCACAGATAGTCAGATTATATATAATTTTTTTTAAACTAAAATATTGTGTGGATGCATGTGTGTGCTCTCCAGACTAGTGCCTTTGTTCGAGGAAGGGAAAAGTAAATTGCAAATATTGCCCCCAAGCTCTGACTGTTCCATTGCACATGGGTTTTCTGCTCAGCTCTTTGCTTAGAGCTGCCCCAGAAGGAGCCACCTCAAGATGTGCCCCAGTTGCTCAGCCTTCATGGGGAGGATGCATTCAAGAGGCATCACCCCCAGCTCCCAGCCACGACAGGGGGAGAGTTTTTGAGCAGAAATATGAGAGCGGTCGCTCCCAGAAACACCACCCAGCCCACCTTCTCGCCCAGGCATCTGCAGCATCCTAATTGCCCTGGAATCCAAAGCACGTCCACGGCAGGGCAGTCAGATGCTTCCCATTTAGCTTAAACTTTTGCAAAATGCTCAGCCACTGACTCACCGCAGGGCCCGGGACGAGCCGGCACACCGGCGGTGCTCGGCTGCCCTCGCCGCACCACGGCACGATCGTGTCTGCCGCCCCATTGGGGTGTTTGGCAAAAAAAAAGGGATTTTTTTCAAAGTCGAGCATCCCTTGCAACTTTGCACCTCTCCCAGCACACCCAGAGTGCTACCGGCAAGTGAGAAGGACAAGGGACATGGAAGTTGCTATTTTTTGCTGATGATCCCAGATGCCATGCTGGGGTTTTAAGGGAGTGATTGGAGCAATGGAGGAGAAAAGCACCAGCTGAGAGGGATTGGTGGCCGCAGGGGCAGCACTGGTAGCGAAGCGTGGGGCTGCAGAAGGTGTAGAGCCCCTCAGCCCAGGGAGTCCAGGGCTTGTGGGCAGTCGGGAGCTGCTTGGGATGCAAGAAGCTCCGTTGCTGCTTGGGCTTTTGGGAGTATAACAGGTAGGGCCAGATACTTTCCTTCCTTCACACCTCATGCCCTAAAGATCTAGTGGCAATACTGAGTGATAGCAGTGATCATAATTAGCCTTTTGGCTGGAAAGAAAGAAATCACAAGATCTCACTGCTCCCCAGGTGCAAAGGTGCCAGACGCAGCGTGAGGACATCCTTCCCGCAGCAGCTTTGGTACGTTAGCATCCAGCCCCGGGGGA